AAAAAAAAAAAAAAAAAAAAAAAAAAGAGATGCAGTATACATTTCATGGGTATATCATTTTCCAATTAGAAATACAAGTTATGGAGTTAATTAGAATTTTTTCAGTGACTCACTTCACTGAACCATTGCTTTTTGACTAGCAGTAGGGAAATCATATAATCACATTTACATCTAGAGAATACATGGTTCGTAGCAACTGGATATAAAGCGCTTTTAATTATGAGTGCCTCAGAGCTCTTTCTCCCCTTCCCTGGTAAGTTATCATGTTCACCCAATAGCTGGAAGCTGTTTTAATTCAATCTGCTTATATCTAACACCATCAGCTGGTTAAATTCCCCTAGCAAGCTACTGCTTTAGACAAGTTAATCTCAGTAAACAATTAATTCTTTCTGGTGAGATCAAAAATCGTCTAATACAATTAGGAAAAGGGGGTGTATTACTGCTTCTGATGGGAAGGAGGACTGTTTTTCAGATCCCCATGCTTTCAAAGAATTTGCTACCTGATTCCTCTAACACACAGGTGAGAAAGACTTCAATATGTGAGACAAATCAATGTGAAGCTCTTGTAGGGTGACAAGGAACCTGGTGTCATACTAGTATCTGAGCAGAACCATCTTCAGTATCTAAAAGAAAAAGTTAAAATCTATTTGCAGAGGGAGATTTCTTTGTCTCCATTAGTTTTTTTAAATGACCTCTTTTAGACTGACAACTAATAAATTCATTCATTAATAACCATTCCACTGAACCACTGAAGAGGGAAGCCCCTGGGATCAAAGTATAGTTCTCTCGCTTTTTTTCCTTATCCCAACAGAACTAATTACTCCAATAAGGTAAAAAAGATTTTAAACAAGTCCGTATTTTGCTGTTTCCTCAAAATTTCCATTTTCAACCTCTCTCTCACTTTTTTCATAAATAGGCCTGCAGCCTACTTCTATAATCAGGAAGCAGAGGCTCCTACTCAGGAGAGAGCAACCCTCCAGCAAAAGCCAGCTCAGTTTTCTGTGGGTGAACAAACAAAATCACATGGTCCCTTCAAATTCAGAACTCCTTTGGGGAAGTGGACAGTGTTTCTAGTCAACTTATAATGGAGATGATTTCAGGTCACATGTTCTGTCAGTAAGTTCTTTTTTCAAACTTGACAGAGTTTTGTGAACAAAAACCATCAACAGGAATTAACCGTTTCTATAAACAAAAGGGGCCATGTAGTTCTTAAACATTTACAGAATCATTTAGCTATTCCAAAGGATCATTACTCAACACAGACATTCAATCATTTGGCTACATATTAAAATTCAAAATCATCTAATTGATCATTCTAACTTCCCAGTAATTTAAAGTTGCTGTTTTAGACTTAAACTGATGCTCTCTTACACTTGATCTGCTGCTCTTTTCTTGTTCAGTGTTTCTCTTTTTAAGGATACTACCAAGACATTTCTGCTGTTTATGACTTGCAGTTGTTATTTGTAGTCCTTTTGATATACATCCCTCCCTTTTCTGTCCTTGAAGAAATAGCCTTCTTATGAAGAAAACCCAGTGTGGCACATTTTGAAGAAGTAAATAAGTAGCTGAGCTTTGCCTCTATTTTTAGGTGTTATGCCAAGTATTAATTAATTTACTAACCATTACAATATATTATTTTAGGTGATGAAAAAGAGTTTTTAGTAACTGCAGATGCTAACTAAGATAATTCTACAACTAATAGTAGTTGTATATTAAATCTGGCTATGACAATGTGTGTATTTCAACCAGTTATTAAGGATATTCTCTTTTTTCTTTTCTTTCTCTTTCTTTTTTTTCTTTAAGAGATACAACCAAATTCCTGCTCTGATTTACTATTTAGGCTTCTAGCAGCTGAAATGGGTTACTTTGCATACCTTTTGTCTTCCTGAGTCATCCTGCCCTGTGGAATCAAAGTTATTTCAGCTGAGGTGTAGCAATTGACCTCACAAACTCTCCAAAGCTGTTATACTTAGATGTCCAAAGGACTGACAATAGTGAAGTCAGAATCCTTGCTATTATTGCTACTGTCATCATCAGGGCTGGAACTTAGGTTACTAGAAGATGCTGAAATAGAGCCCATGAGAGGATCAGAGAAGACCAAAGAGGAACGAGATGGAGCCTCATTCTTCATGGCTCCCTCCCTGTGTGCTTGAAGGAGTCCATGCTCAGGCAGCGAACTTCTGTTTCCTTCCTCTTCTTTGGAAACCAGGATATAGTCATCAGTGCTTCTGCTCTCTCCAGTTCTTGGTTCAGTGGTAGCCTGTTAGATAAATGCATGGAAAGTAAGTTTAAGATTAAAAACGATGTCTTCCTTATTTAATCACATCTATTATACCCGTCGTTGAGGTACTGAGCTCAGGACATACGAGCAACTAGTGCCACGAACTGGCAAGATTCCTGCCCAATGGGGGCAGGGTGCTGTGCACGCTTTTCAGCATACCGGAGGACTATGTTCTCTTCCGAGAGAAGCCACAACACGTACAGGCATTCACTCTTTCAGGAGAAACTCTCCTGGGGGGGGGGTGGAGATTTAATGCTGGGTCTCACATTATTTTTCTCCTGGAGCTGTCATTTTTACTTTGGGAGAAAAAGCCTGAACATCTGTCCACTTGTGGTTTCTCCTGGGAGAGAACTGACTTGTAAAGTCATTCATAATCTCCCAGGAGACACTAAATGTCTGTACAAGACTTGTGTTAGCTCCCAAAAAAGTTATTCAGAAAAAAACAAAACAAAACAGCCCTTCAAGAAAAGAAGAGCTGGATAGAATTTTTCTGATGAAATTCTGCTACATAGAATCTGAAATGTTTTGCACGAGTTTCTCAGAGCTCGCAGACTCTCTGCTGCAGATCTTCAAACCAAATCCCAGGTAGAGTATGGTTCTCAGACTCCTTGCTGCAGAGCTGGGAAGCCCTGGTTCTAAGTGGGGTGAGACTCCCAGACCTATAGCAGTAAGTCTGGACACCTTCAGAAAACTGGCAGAACAATGATAAGAAACTTTAAAATAACAAACTCACCTATGAACAGCTAAACCTGAGTTTTGGCCAGCTTTACTCAACAGAACTCTAGAATTTCAAAAGAAGGTGCTAAAATCAAGTGGACCCATGACTTACTCAGCAGCATAGGGGGCACATCTACATGAAACACATTAATGCATATTAGCCTAATTTAATGTGCATTTTGGGTGTGCACCTACATGTGCATGCCCTTAATGCACATTAAAAATGCTGAAATTAGGCTAATCACACCTAAAACTGATACCTGCAAATGCAGGTATCAAATTTAGGCACAATTACTTAGAGCGCATTAACGCATGTGTAAACATGACAGCACTAAAATTAGTGCCAGGTCTGCCCAGCCACTAGGGGTACACAGCAGGGGTGCAGGGACTTGGCACTAACTTTAGTGCCAAGTCTCTGCATGTGTAGATACCTGCCAAAAATTGCTTAATGTGCATTAAATTCAGTCATGCTTAAACGTATATGTAGTCGCACCCAGGAGTTCTCCTGTATTGACAAGCTAGTGGTCTGTAACCTTGGATGCACCTTGAATGGATGGGCAGCTACTACCTCTCTTTTCCTCCAAGAGTAATGGATTAATATCATGTTTCTTCAGAGGAAGCAGTTTGTTCATGACTGGGTTTGAAGTCAATTTTACACAGCTGTTATTGTGTAAGAATACTATCTGGTGAACAGACCAGGATGATAAGCAGCAACTCCTTGCTAACCTGAGGTGGGATGCTCTGGACTCTAACTGATTTACAATAACATAAGAGTGAAAAAAGGGAGAGGAAGCCGAGAAGGGAGGAGAGAAGGGGAAAGGGCAGGTGGATGCTCATCCACATTGATTATACAAGGTTTAAATAACCAATGCTGTGCTTAACTGAGGCAAACCCTTCAGCAGTGATTTTTCAGCTAAATGAGCAATGTAAATTCCCTTCAGAGTTAGACAGAGGTATCAGACAGAGAGAAAAGGAAATATTAATAAACAAATGAAAAATAGGGGAGATTCAGTATGAGAGAGAGAAAAGCTAGTAATACAGTATCTAACTTACGTGGGTTAATAAAAGGTACTAGTGGGCCATAATTTGCCTTTAGGTACCTGATAGGGACCAGCCAAAATTATTTTATTGTTGTTGCTGATAGAGCCTGTTCTATGGAAGACCTCTTTTAAGTCTCCATTGATGGATCAAGGATTGAAGTGTAGTGCACAAGGGCAGGGATTATGAAACATTTTAACTATTAGATATTATGCAAGCAGATGCTACAATTGTTTAAAAAATTAACAAGGAAAAATATCAATTGGGAGTGAAAACCAGGTCAGACACAGAATCGTGACACAATTCTTTACTGTAACTGGTCGCAGCCACTGGGGCATCCATGACACCTCTCAGTGAAACCGCAACTCTTATCTGGCTCAAACTCTATGGCTTCTCCCTCTAGTTTGCTTGTCTGCCATGTCTTGATCTTACTATTAAAGAGTATTTAAGGAAGGCTACCAACAGGCCGCAGAGTGAGCATCAATCCTACTAGTTCTCCCACCCCGGGTCTCTTTCCAGTCCTTTGTTCTAATAGGTCACTCCCAGCTTGACTACACCCCTGTAGGGTGCCTGCAGCCTTAGGGGCAAATTGTATGGCTTCTTTTCCTTCCCTACACCATGCCCTAAGTCTCATGGGTGTTACAATAATGTTGTTCCCTCTGTTGGGGCCCCAGATTTCCCAGCCTCCACCCCTTTCAATCTCACTAGGCTGGTTTCTTAGGCCACTATGCCGCACTTGGCTTTGAGGCACTAGCTTCAATCTATCACTTTCATTCCCCCCTGGTCCCTGGCTTCTCTCCGCTAGGCCCCTGAGCCACTAGGGACATGCTCTTCTGGCAAGGGGTCCCTGGCCCCCGTCTTGCTGTGCCCCTCTTGGGCTCCGGGTCCCTGGCCCCTGTCTGCTCTGTAGCCTTGTACTGCCCCTCACTGGGCTCAACAATAGCTCAGGCTTTGAGCCTGCCCCTAGCAAGAGCTCCAGGCAATCACATGCCTCACAGGCACTAATGGGATCTCCAAAACCACCCCTTAAAACTATAAGTCCCTGAGCAATAACAGAAACACAACAACGGTTGAAACAGCTCTCTCTGCCCCTTTACAAAGGCAAACTTCTCATCTCCTCCCAGGCACATCTTCCCACCCAGGGCTATTCTTTGGCCTGTATATTTGGCCCTCTTGAGGTTTTGGACCCTCTACTAAGCACCTCAACCCTCTGGAGTTAACAAAACCAAGGCCATTTGCCTGTAAAAGCCCACTCTCTCAACCCAGGTAACTTGCCTCAATCCCGTGGTCTGCAGAATCATTCAGTGTAAACTAGGTTCCTTCAGGGACACTGTTGCCTTGCAGCCTGGAGCTCCTCCCTGCATGGTGGCTGGGGAGAGGCACCAATACTGGTGCAGGCTCCGGGCTGATATAGCTCCAGCCTGAGCCCTCCTGGTCAGGTGAGCCTCTTATTAGCTCCCCTCTGCTACCTGCAAGCCATCTCTCAGACTGCTTGCTCTCTTAAAGGAGCAGGCACCTCCCAGGGCCCTGCTACACTTGCACAGAAAAGTTCATAGGATCATAGGAAAGTAGGACTGGAAGGGACTTGGTGACGTCATTCAGTCCAGCCCCCTGCTCAGGGCATGATTACCCCCGATTAAAACATCCTAGTCAGTTGTCTGTCTAACCTACTTTTGAAAATTTTGAGGGCTGGAGGAGATTCCACAACTTATCCAGGTAGCCTGTTTCAGTGCCTTTCATGGGTAGAAAGTTCCTTCTAATTTCCAACCTAAATTTCCTTGATTGCAGCTTAATATCATTACTCCTAGTCCTACCCCGTATAGCCACAAAGGAAAGTCTATCTCTGACATCTTTATAATCTTCCTTTAGGTCTTTGAAGATCATAATCAAATCCCCTCAGTCTTTTCTTCAGACTAAAGAAACATAGTTATTTCAGTCTTTCCTCATTCTCCACTGGACTCTTCCCACAGTACTCCAGGTGAGACCTCACCAGGGTTAAACAGAGCAGAAGAATTACTTTCCTTGATTTGCAAGTAATACTCCTGTTAATATAACCTAGTATGCTGCTGGCTTTTTTAGCCACAAGAGCATACTGTTGATTCATATTCAGCTTATTGTCCACTGTAACCTCCAGGTCCTTCTTTGCAGTACCACAGCCTAGCCATCATTCCCGGCCTGTATTTGTACATGTGATTCTTCCATCCCAAGTTCAGGACTTGGCACTTGTGCTTGTTGAATTTCATCTGATTAATTTTGGACCATTTCTCTAGTTTATCCAAGTCATTCTGAAGCCTAGCCCTGCCCTGCAGAGCATCTACAACTCCACCCAACTTGGTGCCATCCACGGACTTGCTAAGTGTGCATCATTTAAATAATTAATGAAAATGTTAAACAATAATGACGTAGGACAGACCTCCATGAAACCCCACTTGATACCTCCTCTGGACAAGACATTTAGCCACTGATGTCTACTTGCTGAGCCTAATGATCCAACCAGTTATGTATCCGCTTTGCAGTACTTCCATCTAGCCTGTATTTCTTCAGCTAATTAATGAGTATGTTGTGGGAGACGGTGTCAAAAGTCTTCATATTAATGAGGTAAAATTAGGTACAGTTTTGCCATAAATGCAGAGTATTTTAAACATTTCTGGGTTCTAGGTCAACATGAAAAATTCTCTTGTGTACATGTGCATATTTTTGTGACCCATTTTTACACTGTCTTTTTCATTCAAGCAAACATCTCTCTTCCAGTGCATCAGCTGTAATGTGATATAAACCCCAAGTAGTACTATCTATCAATTATGTATGTAAAGGAACAAAAATAAATCAGACTTCAACTGTTCTACATTTGCTAATCTTTCAATGTTCAAGTCTACTAATCTTTGATATTTATGTTCTAAAATAATTTCCTTTAGCTGGATTTATAAAACATAAATAACTCAAACTCAACAGACTGTTTTTAAGAGCACCAAAAACTACCAGGAAATCTGTACTGTAATTAAAGTTTGTAATTAATTTATAATTCCCTTTTTATTTTATATTTTGTATTTCAAATGCAAATAAAAACAAAGCACAAAAACCTGTTCTTTACTGTACAGGAGGTTAAAAACAAACACATAAGCAGCTCTACATTGCAAGGCAGGGACTGCATTACTTAAACACCCCTGATCTGATGAAACACATCTTTCTTCTTTAATTACTGTTTTGCTTTCATCAGATCTATC